TTATTCTTTATATTTTTTTTTCAAAAATCAAATTTGTATTATAGATATTGTGCAATTCCACCTGTTACTCTTCTAAGGTTACTACCTATCCCAAGCCCGGGTAATGGAGGAAGATTGGGGATGGAGTCAGTAACATGATCCCGTAAAAAACAATCTTGCTAAAAAAAATGGTAACCAGAAACAATATGGATATTGCGAGCGTACTGCATCTAGGTACAACAACGTGTAAAAAGAATGGTTGAATGTGATTTGTTAAAATGAATTATACACATCAGTCGACAGGAATCCTTATTAACCCGAAAATGGAGAATTTAGGGTATAATCTATTAATGTATAACTAAATGTTTTTACCAATAGACAATCTAAATTATGGTCCTATTAAAGACACTAATAATCACAATATTAACTTACGTTAACCTATACGATTCTTAGAGTGTAATACATAATAAAATAGTGTTATAAACAATAAAAACATGTATAAGAATCCATTGTACTTGCACCAATGTGCTATAAGTAAAATAATTAATTTAATGGCTAAATTTAAATTAAACATTGCCTAATCTCTTTCTTTTACTAATGAACATTTCCTAAAAAATATTAAAAAGAATTTTATTTATTTATTTTAACATATAGATATTGGTACAAGGAGGAACCAAATGCATATCCGCCACATAAATCTCATTTGATATGTGTGAGGGCTGTGATACTGCCCGGGTGCCCAAACCGAAGCAGGTGGTTTTCTTAGGGGGCCACACCCGGAGTCTTCGACCTGAAGGTCTAACCACAAGGCAGTTGAGCATCGTGAGGAGATGCACTCCCATAGTAGTCGGGGACCAACGATTAGTTCATACGCCATTTATTCCCTCAGGATCCTGGAGCCCATATGCACCATTGGTTTGGAATCAGGGTTTCCCAACTCTCCTAGGTGGACTCCGCATATCTACCAACTTGGTTAAAGCGCCGGATATTCGCGTTTCGTCCTCGCAGTTTTGTACACAACACCCCTGCCACGAGAAGGCAGGGAGTAGGACTTCCCTGGCAGAGGCTATATACGTGTGGCCATTTGGGAGCATTTCGAGAGGGAGAACGGACTCTCATCACTCTCGGCCGTACCAGGGCATTCGTGGGCATTAAAAAGATTTGTAGTCTTAATATTATGAATCAGATGAAAATTTATAGATTTATTGGTTTATTTATTTTTGATCAGAAACTATCGATTACTTGATGGTAAACGGAAGTAAAATAAAACATTTTATCTTGTATGATGTCAATATATCAGTACACTATAGTAAAAAATATCATATTCCGATTTCTGAACCACGAAGCACTTATCGATTTTTTCTGTATAAAAAGTAAATGATCAATAAATATATTTACACAACTACATACTGTCTGAGGTTTTTAAAAATATTTCTTCTTAGACGTTAAAAAAAATCAACTCTAAATCATCATCCTGGAACGAAATCTGAATGACAATATTTAAATTTACATGTTCAAATTTTGTAGTCAGTAGAGAAAAACAAGTAAATTCAAGGTCCATATGATTATTAAAGTAAATACTTATACCCTATTATACATACATTTTGAGTCATTCACAGGTTATATGTTTCATGTTTTGTTCTGAATAATCTTCTTTATAATTATGTAGTATTAAATAAACTGATTATTATAAACAAATAATATATTTTTAATATCCCAATAAGTGGAAAAAAATAGATTTTCAGACGTTTCGTGACTTAGTGTAAACCACTTCTTCAGAGAATAAATAACCAAATCAAAATTAATCCAATATGTAGGTACCATTACCAAGGTTTGACTTGATAATTTCGAATAAATTGAGCATTGGGTCGATCGTTATAAATTCACTAATAGATTTATAATATCCAACTAAGTAGAAAAATCAGATTTTCTGACGTTTCGTGACTTCGAGAAAGCCACCTCTTCAGAGAATAAATAAATAATCAAGTCAAAATTAATCCAGGTTAAATACGCTAGGTTTGAAGCAATTACGAGTGCACTTAGACTGAGAACGGAAACAAAGACTCGGTGACCAAAGACCAACAAGCCAGCTATTCGATGCGTCCCAGGCCCTCTAACTAGAGGAAGAAGTCCAAGCTCAGAATGGGAAAGCATATTACGCAAACAGCCAGAAAATGAGCGATATCAACAAACACAAATCAAAACGCATATATACAGCACAAAACCGTCCTTGGGGAGAGTTAAAAATAGCATACTAGAAAACACAACGGACCAATAGCATTTAAAAGTCCCCCAAGTGGGAAATACGACATGAAAGTGAAAAGAGCGCTTTTGACGCGAAAACAAAGGAATTCAAATTTTCTAAATAAAATTACAAAAATAGGTCCCTTTCCAAGTGAGTTTTAAAGGATCTAACGTCTCCAACAAAATAGTACAAACGGAACAACAAGAAAAAAATTAATTATTATTTTTAAAACTTGTAGTTCTGAATAATGATGACATAATACATTGAAGTTGAATTGTGAAGTATCAGTATGTTATTCAGTGGATACTACAACTTAATAACTAAGACAAATTTAATTATAAGTAAATAATTGACATATAATAATAATAATAATCAATAACTTACACCTAGATAAAATAAATTACATAAAATATCCCGGTCATAATGTTTTATCAAATAACATATCGTTAAAAAATCATTTAAATAAATAGGCAGTTATTAATTAGAAAACGTAGGTGATAAATATTGAACAGAGTAAAACTTGAAGTTCATGCACTGTACTAATAACAATCTTTAATCGTTTGAAAATAAGTAAGGGCTTTTAATCACACTATGTTAACTTACAGGACTGCAATTGATCAATCTCATACTAATATTTTCTTACCTACTGAATACGTTTGTGGCTACATGAATTCAGTAGCTCAGTAAATAATTTGTTTTTGTTAGAAGTGAAAAATACTGGGCTTGAGTGAACATCAACATTGGAATTCAGGTAATATATTAAGCTAACAAATAGGACGAGACTCTTGTCGTAGACCCAAATACTGTTCACATAATATATATTAAAAAACATTTTGAATACACGTGGTATTGTTTGACTTGGATATTCTCATTGAGGTGTAAGACTGCAGTTGATCAGTCCTGGATTCCACTGCTAGTCACTATCCATAATTGCTTACAAAAAAACATTTTGAATAGTTCTAATAAATGTGTCGATTTTACAAAACAAATATTTACATTTAATTCCCGATAAATTCACTCACCTTTACTTTTATATACATATCCAGTAACGACAATATACTATGTCAAAAGTGAGGGTTACTGATTTTTACATGATGAATGAGATCAATTTATTAAGCCACAAATTATTTTGAAACTAAAGAAGATGTAAAACCTTTACATATTTGGGCAGCATCATTGATGAACATGGTGGATCTGATGCAGATGTGAAGGCGCGGATCGGTAAAGCAAGAGCAGCATATTTACAATTGAAGAACATCTGGAACTCAAAACAACTGTCAACCAACACCAAGGTCAGGATTTTCAATACAAATGTCAAGAAAGTTCTACTGTATGAAGCGGAAACCTGGAGAACTACGAAAGCCATCATTCAGAAAATACAGGTGTTTATTAACAGTTGTCTATGCAAAATACTTCAGATCCGTTAGCCGGACACTATTAGCAACAGCGTAATGTGGGAGAGAACAAGCCAGATCCCGGCGGAGGAAGAAATTAGAAAGAAGCGATGGAAGTGGATGAGACACACATTGAGGAAAGCACCCATCTGCGTCACAAGACACGCCCTCACATGGAATCCTCAAGGCCAAAGGAAAATAGGAAGACTGAAGGACACATTACGTCTAGAAATGGAAATAGACATGAGAAAAGTGAACAAGAATTGAATGGAATTAGAAAAGGAGGCCCAGGACAGAGTGGGTTGGAGAATGCTGGTCGGTGGCCTATGCTCCATTAGGAGTAACAGGGGTAAGTAAGTAAGTAAAGAAGACATTATCAACAGTTCTGTGTATAAATATTTTTCTCCGTATCAATGACGATAAATTAAAACTTGCAGTTCTAAATAACCTGTACTGTAATTAATAAAATAAAGTGGCTAAAACTGATCAGTATGAAAGCGGTAATTTTATCCTATAAAAACATGTGTTGACAGGACTTGGATATGAGTTGTCCAGGTAAATGACATTACCTTGCAAAACCGAAGCCTCAGCCTTAAGACTCTTATTTATTTTTAATTCAAACTATGTAGTGTGACTGTCATGAATCAGCTACAATACAAGTTTTTTAAAGCTAGTTGAAGTTTGTTTAAAAAAAATTAATCCACCTGTTATACGTAATTTATACCCATACAGAAAAAAGTAACTCAAAATCCTAAACTGTTACTGCTAAATTAGAAAAATTCTTTCTACTTTCAGGAAGTTTTCAGCCCTTACCTGTTAACCATTATAAATGCATCTTATCTGGTAGATATTAAAGTACCAAAGTACCAACCAGATGATTCACGTATATCATTGAATCAAACCTATTAATCCTGTTCAATCATATACAGCGTTATTGGTTAATTTACATGTTGTTAAAGCTTAATTTAATGTTATGTTTGTAAAAATTATACAAACCAGTATAATATTTGGGATCTACTTGGAGAAAACGTGTTACACCCAAAGCTTTTGATTGCTTTACATTTTTGAAGTACAGAAAATTATAACATTTTATGGGTATATAGCATAACATAATAGTAATTTCATATGAACATTACTCTGTTGTGCTAACCAAAGCCAAATATACATAACATACATATATAGGTTTAAACACCACTTAAATGTGCTTAGTGAAAAATACACTAGTTGAGTCAGGAATTCTTTTAGCCTAACTAACAACTAATCAGTATTTTGTATACTCATCCCACCCCCACTATAGTGATTCGATTGGCTGTTCTTACCAAGAGTTATATTTACGATTTATTTCATGAGGTGATAGTATGAAAGACACAACACTGAACACAGGCAAATAGGTTCCCATACTCTAGAATTAGTTATGTAAATTTACATATAGATAATTTTCGATTGTGAGTGTATGAGAGAAATAGGCATATTGATCGTTCAGTTTATAAACTTTAGTAGTTTTTAATCAAACAATCGGTTAATATTTTGTGACCGGTTTTATATTTTGACTGTTTTGTATGGGAATGGATAGTACTGCATCGGAAGTCGTCAAGATAGAAACACCAATGTCAAATGACAGTGAAAAACTGTTCTCAGTGAGTTAACGTTTTATTTATTTTATGGTTCTGATTTAAATTTTTTTTGTTATGATGAAGTTAAAGTATTTTTCTAACAGAAAAAACTTATTTCATGAAAAGTGACTTTGTTATTTTATATAATAAGAAAATTTCCATTCCCTTAGATTTCTACAACTAGCTGGAGTTATTGATTTACTGTAAGGTTTTTTAATCACCAAGCATACTATCGGTCAAAAAGGAATGCAAACATTTTCGGAGATATAATTCTAAACATACATTAACTTATAAAATCAAACAAAACTCAAAATCTTTACAGATAGTATATTCTATTTTCAGCTACTGGGTTTACTTCAAGTGGTACAGAATTTAAATTCCAACCAATTCATCAATGTGTTTTGTAGCACTTTCAATCTTTATAACCTCTGATTTCATTAGAGAGGTTATAAAAGTTATAAACGCTATCAAAACACTTGGAAATATTTGGTAAATGTCAATTTTTAAACGAAGCGATTTATTATATATGTACTATATGATTTTATAGATCTTCTACTCATGTAATAAGGTTTAAGAAATATGCTTTCCATGTTATAGTCAATAATAGAATCAATGAAGTAACCAGTAGAATAATAGCAACACGTGAAATTTAGTACTTGTATGATCGATAAACATTTTTGATATTTGTTTTCAAATACTTATTTAGATTATTGCAAATTCAGCTTACCGTCGAACTCTACAACTGTAATAACCTCCAGATACTACTTATCTTCAAACCGTATATAATGTTCACATAACGCTAATGTGAATATTGTAGTGCATCGATGTGTCCTCAAAAACAAATTTCAGATTATCTAAAGAAGTACAAAACTGTTAGCAAGTTCATGTATTTCAGAAGTATTTTATACTTAAGATAATAATACAGTTGAGTGTAATCAATCAAAAAAAGCACCTTTGCTTGAACTATTTAGGATTTTCAGTAACTTTTACTGATTAGCCTAATTTCAGTGGTAAATTCATCTAATCATATTAATGTGTTACGACTTTCTTCTCAAATAAAACATTAATTACCCACTGCTACATCAATGAGTTGACAGAAAGCCTAAAACTATATTATTACATTATTACTTACTGGTGTTTTTAGCTGTTCGATTATTTTGCATAAATATTTTTTTCCTGAAGATTGAACATATTTCATACCCAGTTTATCATTGCCGTGGTTCTAAGTAAATAAACTGGGAATAATTATCATACCATGCTATACTTTCATTTGCTTTATGTCCACGTTTTATTTGTGGTATTCGTTTTTAATATGACAATTAAACATTCACCCTATTTCTATAGTGCGATTTCAACATTTCAATTTTACATAACATAACATAGAAAAACTATACACTTTTAGAGGTTTTCCAACTTAATTTCTTATATTACCCATTAACAAACAATAGGATGTGATGTTTTTAGAGAGTTAAAAAAAATCATACTTAAGAGCTTTATGAAGTTAAATAAATGAATCACTATTATTCTTTCTTTATATATGGGAACTAGATAAGCAATAATAAGAACACGATGACTAATTTATTATCATTTGAGTATTTTAGACGAAAAAACTAAAGTGATCCTAAATATATGACCGCTTAAATCAAGAACTTTCAATTATAATCAGAGAAAGGTTTTGTGGATTAGTTGGAGTTAGACATTAACACCGTCAAATGGCGGTTCAGTAATCTAAAGGTTAAGCGCTTGCGTGCGAGACCGATAGATCTTGAGTTCCAATCTCTCGGGGGCGGTATCGTAAATGTGCACTTCTGAGGAGTCCTGTACTAGGACAAAACGGCCATTCAGTACTTCCAGGTTTTTCATAGTGATCTATCTTCAATTAACTCATGTATTCATCTATTAAGAATATTACTTCCAATTATATCTGATCTTTTCATTCAATCATAACCAGCAAAAATAATTTACAGAGTCAAATAAAATATAATAAGGAGATTCAATAATACATTCATACTCTCAAATCGTCATTGGTTAGTATATTATCAAAACCATACTGAATTTTTTCTAAAAATAATAATCTATCTTCCATCTATGTTGGTAATAATTCTATTAAAATAAATATTTTCTCTTATAGTTTAAAGTAAAATTTAAGCATTTAATAAGAAAGTCTTATGATCCATATCTAGTTAAATTGATTAGAAACTTTAGGTTACTGTTTATTGAATTCCACTAGTAACCTTTTCAAATCTACTATTCTCATCAATAGTTTCTCATGGTAACTAATAGAAAAAAAAAATAACTATCGTCTATCAATATAAAACATAAATAGATTATTTTATTGTGTAAGTTACAAGTCGAATGACTTTTTATATTCCCTAATGAATTATTAAGATTAAATATATTACTTTATATATTTTATTAGTTTGCTTGTTCTTTATTTTTGTATTAATCATATTCAATCTATTACCGTTTGATATATACATTGTATATGAGTTCTATTATAAACTAGTTAATCGATTGTCCGAGGATCTTCCTTTTGTTTACTAGTTAAAGTATTAACCGAATTAATTCTTTTTTTTTCTTTCATTCATTTGTATGAAATCAACTATTCTCTATAAGCTGTAAAGTTTAGACAATAATATGTATCAAACACTTTTATGTTGATAAGTTTATTAATAAGGTTAATGTAAGTGATTGTTTATGTGAAAGGATAAGCTCTATGTAAATTTAATTCGATAGAAAAAAATGAAATAAATTCTCTATGATTTAAAGTATGTAATATGTATTAGAAGGGGTTTTGTGCAGATTGTAGTGATTTAAATAGTTAAGATGAAGAGTCGATTGAAGATTGATCACCATGGGAACTCTGGAAGTACTGAACGGACGTTTCGTCCTAGTATGGGACTCCCCAGAAGTGCGCATCCAGAAGCCCACTTGCAGGATTCGAACACAGGACCTATCAGTTTTGCGCGCGAGCGCTTAACCATTAGACCACTGGGCCGGCATCCAACAGTGTTAATATGTAACTTCAACTAATCCACGAAAATGAGCAACATATCTATCATTGTCTTCAGTGAGTTACTATCTCACACCAGACCCGGTTGAACTCCACTGATCGCTACTTCTCACTAGAACTCCAGGATATATATCTTTTAGCCAATCACTATTAAGCATATGTTGATTATTATCAGAAGGCGTTTTGTGGAAATTGTAGTAATTTCAATAGTTGAGATGTAATATGTATCATTTCTTAAATATAGTCCATTTTTTTAGTGTAAACGATTACTAATTGTATACTTAAAACGTTACATATAGTGTGTAATACATATGTTAAGGAGTCCTATATCAAATATAAACTACAGTGTAAAAAGTTAACAAACAGTTGCCTCATTTTAGTCTGTAAAATATTTAAGAATTCATACATTTATCCAGATAAGAACATTCATTTTTATGACAAACACAACACGGTTAATCTATTGAAATTAAGTGCGCCTGCATGCATCTTTCAAGTTGTAGGTTTAGAAGAAAATCATTCGTCGTTATTGATGATCGTAGACTGATTGGTCAAGTTACAAATTTGTATATGAAATCGTTTGTATGAGTTAAAATGAATGTTCAATGAAGATAAATTAGTTATATAGTTCTTTATAATTTCTAATACTTCTACAGTTGATGATGATTTCATGTGATATTATCTTCAATAAACCAAGTATTCATAAACACCCATTTACATAATAATACAATAAATCTTATATATATCCACAGATTAAAATGTATAAAATTGGCATTTTCTATGTACTATATAAATACAAATATTGGCTATGGAATTTCATCTTCAATCGATTAAAACTAATTGTTAAACCTTTATTACAGACACGCGTACTTGACAGTGCATTAAACTATACAAAAACTAAACAGTAGCTATTTTTCAATAAAGTTTGTTTTATTTAACAAGTAAGAATTATTATATCAATGGAAACTATCGCTTGGCTTGATTATTTACGTACAAAAAGTGATTCTATTTTTATCGAAACGTGTATGGTTTGATGTGTATATAGAACAAATCTAACGTATCAAACATTTTGATGTATGATTTAATAAATGATATTCGTCAGCTGAATTGTTTTTATAATGATAATATATAGTTCCCTGTTTTGAATTATATCTTTAGTAATAAACAGGCTAATTTGATGAATGTATACATCACCTATGAGCTGTAAATTACAAATACTTACTTACGCCTGTTACTCCTCGTGAAGGAGCAAAGGCTGCTCATCAGCATTCTCCATCCAACCCTGTACTGGGCAATCTTTTCTAGCTCCCTCCAGTTGTTATTCGTCCTTTTCATGTCTGCTTCTATTTCCCGACGTAATGTGTTCTTTGGCTTTCCCCTTTTCCGCTTCCGTTCAAGATTCCAAGTTAGTGCTTGCCTCATGATGCAGTTTGATGATTTCTGCAATGTATGTCTTATCCACTTCCATCGTCTTTCCCTAATTTTCTCTTCATCTGGAAGCTGTTTTGTTGTCTTCCGTAGTAGACTGCTGTTAATGGTATCCGACAAACGTTGTGTATCTTATGTAGACAATTATTTGCAAATACTTTTACTTTTTTATGATGATTGTGATAGTTTTCCAAGTTTCAGCTCCAAACAGTAGAACTGCTTTGACGTTCGTATTGATGATTGTGACTTTGATATTGGTTGAAAAGTTGTTTTGAGTTCCATATGTTCTTCAATTGTAGGAATGCGGCCCTTGCTTTGCCAATCACAAATAACTTGAGTAATAAATGTAAATAACTTTAGTATGCAAAATGTTTCACAGAATATTTCAAATTGTACAAGGGATCAGTGAAAGTTGTTTTAATTCGTTTGTAGCTTCTAATGAATATACAGTTAGGTACTTAGAAGACGGTTTATTCTCCACTGTTTTTCCTTATAGGAATAATCTGAAAAAATAAGTCATTAAATTGTGGTTCACCTTGACAGAAATTTCTTTGGTATAGAATTAAGTGGAAACGTTTATTATAGT